ATAAACTGAGAATAAACTGAGCTATAGAAAATGAAAGAGGACCATTTCCAAACACAATGCTGTGGTGCCTCAGAGTCCACTTTCAATGCTTCGTCTCAGCACAAAATTATCACAATTACTCAGGAAAGACAGTCCCAATGCTGAGATAGGTCACCAGATTTACTGATGATTAAGTTATGATTTTAACCAAAGCCCAAGCAATATTACTCTAAAGTTCAAGTGAAATGGATGATTATTCTTACACGAGTCATTAACACTAACAGATGCACCCCCCAGATTAATTAGGTTACACAAATGGATTTCTTTTCCTTTCCTTGAGTTGTGTTCTTTTCCTGTTTTTTTTTTTTTTCCAGGCATTGGTTTACTGTAGTTCTTATGTAAGGTTTCAGTTATCTGGTCAATTCCCTGGAAGTTAAATTAAATGAGATTTACAAGGTTTTATTGATTTTATAGAGAACTCTTCATCCAATATAAAGCTAATGATGAAACCGATGGTAAGGGCATATGGCAATTTTCTTATGCATCACAGTGCTTGATTTCATGAAATATGCACATGACGCTTCTGTTTTCAGGGTGTTTCTTTATCACATTCACTGGTTTAATCATCAGATATCTTTGGAGTACTTATTATATTCCAAGCAGCTTTACACATGTTAGCAATAAGAAGGGCAGACATAACTGCTGATTTAAAAAAACAAAAAAAACTTTTGCTCCAGGAAGAGTAACTGAATCATACAATGCAGCTTATGGCTATAGCAGATTTAGTGAACTTATTATGCAACCAGCTGGTCTAGATTTATAGGAACACATAGGAATAGTATTCTTGTGGGCCAGAGAAACAGTCAAATAATTGATCAGTAGATTTTTTTTTTTTTTTGAATGCCAGGTAGGAGCCAGGAACTAACCCTAGTTATCACCTGAAGGGAAGGATTATTCAAATAAAAAAGTAGGAATAGGAAAATTGAATACTGTAGTCACAAAAAAGAGTTCATAAGATTACCTAAAGCAAAATTCAAAGAACTAAGTGTATAGCTTGCAATGGTACAGATGAAGCTACAGAATGGATATAAGGTAAATCGCAAATCACGTTACAGAATTGAACTGTATCTTGCAAATGATAGGAAATTGGGCCCGGCACAGTGGCCTAGAGACTAAAGTTCTTGCCTTGAACATGCCAGGATCCCATATGGGCACCGGTTCTAATCCTGGCAGCTCCACTTGCCATCCAGCTCCCTGCTTGTGGCCTGGGAAAGCAGTCAAGAACGGCCCAAAACCTTGGGACTCTGCACCAAAGTGGGAGATGCGGAAGAGCTCCTGGCTCCTGGCTTCAGATTGGCACAGTACCCGCCGTTGCAGCCACTTGGGGAGTGAATCATCGGATGGAAGATCTTTCTCTCTGTTTCTCCCCCTCTCTGTATATCTGACTTTGCAATAATAAAAAAAAAACTTTAAAAAAAATGATAGGAAATCTTACAATGTTGCTGAGCCAGGAGTGGCTCAAATATATTGGTGTAGAAGATTGATTTGAATATTGTGCTGAGATTGAACTACAAAAATTCATAACTGGAGCATTCATTTCTGCATACAAACTGCCATAATTAATCATATCAAAGACAATGGTGACCTCAACTGAGAAAATGATCATTGCTGGAACTGCGTGGATTTGAGATATAGTCAAGCAAGATGAATCACAGGACTTGGTGAGAAACTGAGCATTGACAGGTTAGATGTGGTAGGAAAGGAAGAAGTAGAAGTCACTCTTGACCAATAACATGGAAGATAACACAACTGACTGAAAACATAGACGAGATGGGTTGGAACAGGGAGCCAAAGAATTCAGTTTGAAACACAATCAGTCTGATGCATCTGGGATGTGAATAAATCTGAAATGCAGAAGAGATACCTATGAGAGGAATATGATCCATGACTTACCAATACCTTGGAGAGATATACCTTATTTGGAGTAATGGAAGCATGGAGGTTCTGTGGCCCCCTGTGGCTAACAGAGAGTATCTGAAACTAATGAAATGCTTTCAAGTCTTTTGGGCTTATTTTATAGGTATTTCTTTAATAAAGGATAGGTCATTTAAATTTACTTTAGAAAGTGGACAATTCAACAGACAGACAGGAGAGGGAAACTGATGAGATAACTCAGATAAGCGTGCCCAGGGTGGTGTGGTGACTACTCTGGGGGGCACAATTCAAAGAATAACACAGAGAGAAAGCAAGTAGAAGTTTTTGAAAATAAACTTGCGTATTCAATGGAGAGAGTGTCAGGGCAAAGGGAGTGGTCTACGGAGCCAACGCCCAAAAGGGTCCAATGAGGCAAGGAAAAGTACACATTGCATTTTAAGTAAGGATATCATGGATGATTCTGGAAAGAGAAGTAATAATCAGAGTGTAGTCAATGATCTCCACTTGGGACACCCATATTTATACTTATAGGGCCTAGTATTCAGCCTCAGCCCTTCATCCAATTACAAATTCCTGTTAATGTGTACCCTGGGAATTGCTAACTCAAACACTCGGGTTCCTGTCACCCACCGAGATGACACAGATTGAATTCCAGGTTCCCAACTTTGCTCTGAAATGCTCTACAGTTGCAGACATTTAGGGAGTAAGCTAGCAGATAAAGGCTATCTTTTTAACATTTCACATAAAGAGATAATAAACACAGTTCCTCTAAAAAAGCAGTTGTGACAATCACAAAGAGTGAATAGAAGATGAAAAAATGAAGATGGTAGACTCAGCAACTCAACGAGAGTTAAGAAAGTAGTTGGAGCAAAAAGACTAGGTACAAGGTGGCTGTTTTCTCTCTTGAAAGTCAGAGAATTGCTCAATGAGCAAAATCTTGTAACAACAGCCAAACCAAGCACACACAAAGGCTACTCCTTTGGTAATGACTTCAAGCCTCTGCCACATCTAGAATCAGGAGAATCAGCTCAGAGCGTGTACCATGGATGAATCAGATTGCAGACAAGGGCTACGAATTGAGTGGAAGCTTCAGTGATTAATAAGCTTTGGAGCAGGTGAGAATGAGCCATTGATTGGGAGAAATCTGAGAAGAATAAGTCTAAAGATTCATCCATTCTCCTCTCTCCAGCCTTTGTTAGTCAAAAATTACTTTCTCAACTAGTGTAATGTCTTTAAAATAGAAATTGCTTGTAACTCGAAGAATGACTACAAATATGAAGGTACTGTTACAAGACATATAATCCAATTTACAATTACTACTTGCTTTCTTTGTCTTCACACATACACCCAGCATATTCTTTGAGGTCACACTGTTCACATCCTCATTTAGAATTTTTAACACAAGATAGAGTGTTAAATCAGTATAAGCTGGTGTTTCTATCACTTAGGTTTCAAACATCCTCTTTATATATAAACACAATTATAAATAAAGGTGCTAATGTTGGAAGGAGAATGTTCCTTTAATAAGTAGCGGGTACAAATAACTGCCTGAATAGAGGAGGATGTTGTAAGACCTAGCTTATAATTAAGCTCTACTTAATTGAATTATTTTTCCCTTAATTTTCAAAGTGTAAATTTTCAAAGGTGATACTTGTGTGTCTAAGTTTACCAGTATTGTTTCAATGGTAGCCTTTCAGACACCACAGTTCCTAGGTACATAGAGGCAGCTCACAGTACTACAGATTGCAGTAGCCCCTTAATGAGGCCGAGACAGGATCTTCCAAAATGGTTTGTGTGTGGTTATTGCAGTAGGCAATATACTCTTCAGTTACAAGACAGTGTGAAAGCTCTCAGTACTAGTTTTACCCATTCCTTTTCTTTTTAATGAGATCCAGACCATTGATGAACAAACCAGAAACTTCCCTTATACAGTCATAGAAACCAACATCCAGTATTGTCACAATCTAGTGCTCCTATCTGCTTCATGCCATCAACACGTAGTCTATTTTGTCCTAAGGAACTTGAGTCTATATTTGTGACTGAAGTTCAGGTCTATTTTCACACACACATGTGCATACTCAGCTGTGATTTTGATGACTCTCAGTGCTTCCTTCCTGCGCTAGGTGCTCAGGACTGCCTTCTCTCTATGTACTCTAACTTGTGGTCATGGGCATTGAATGAACTTAGATTTCACCGTGCCAGAGGATGTGGCCAATTCTTAGTGAGGAACAAGTTAGAACATGCTTCTGCAACAAACATCAAGCTGGCCTTTGCAGTTTTACAGTTGGAGAATTCAGATACAGAACTGTGTTTTTGTGAAAATCGAATATTCCATTGTTGCCCTTCATATTTCATCGCAGCTTTATCCACAGCCATCAAAGGCTTTCCCTTTGTTAATGACTTCAACCCTCCTACCACAAGTGGGTTTTCCTCTTTTCTAAACATCTTTTATCAGAGTCATGTGGCCTGTTTCTTGAAAATGTGTGTGAATACCATATTATCTGTGAGTGGGAATTCTTCCCTCACCTCGGGTAGAGGGTGCTTGCTGGAGAAGATCTTCCCAATTAAAAAAAAAATGTGATTTACAGCCCATAATCTGATAACACTGTCTGGGTTCTAGAACCCTGAACAGCATGTGGTTTTAAAGGTTACCTCCCTTTTGTAAATGAGTAGAATTATCCTGATGATTTGAAACCAAAAAGAAAGTTAACATTGTTCTTCAAAACCAGATGAAATGGACATAGTAGGCTAGATAAGCTCACAAGCAAGCTTCTCACTGGTGGCAATATTTTTTTAACCCTGTTGAGACCCTTGGTTTTGGAGCATAGTTGTCTAGCAGAGCTTCTGAACCCTGCTGATATTGGGCTTCCTTACGTGTGAGGAGTGACAGGCCCCACCCTATGGCACTTGTGGAAATGAGTCTCAGACCTACCGATATGCATTTTCACAGATGCCTCTGTGTAGGACTAAAGCACTGTAAAGTTGACTGGAGAACCACCACCCCAAGAGATAGATCACTAAAGCTTCAGTGGTCACCAACAGACCAATGTGACTGACAATGACTTCTCTGTCTCTCCTCTGCCTAGGTGCAAGTGTAATCTCCATGCCACTGTGTGTGTATATGACAACAGCAAACTGACATGTGAATGTGAGCACAACACAACAGGCCCAGACTGTGGGAAATGCAAGAAGAATTATCAGGGCCGGCCTTGGAGTCCAGGCTCATATCTCCCCATCCCCAAAGGCACTGCAAATACCTGTGAGTAGCTTTGCTTTGTAACACTGTCTTCTGTGCATCACGAGCTGAGAGTTCCTCTGAATTTCACTGGCAATTGTGACTCTACTCCTCTTACCAATTATCTGACTCTTAAAAGTATAGCTGAAGTTGTAGTCTGATTTTCCCACTTGTCAGCATGTTTTAACACTGTCATCATCTCAAATTCTAGCATCCACATTAAGTGGATCGACAAATGATTGTTGAAATCATAGCAGCAATTTTCTCTAAATGGGTGAAACAGGTGGGTGATCTTATTTCTCCCACAAATTAATTTCCTAACAAAATAACACAGGCCTTGAGAATTTTCAAGCCTAACTTGAAAATTAACTTATCCACAAACAACTTCCAGGAATGCTTTGAGTATTTTTAATTCACTTACCATACTGAATAATACTGGAAGTATCTAGTCTAAAACATATTTTCTTCTCCAAGGAAAAGACCTCTTTAGAGAGGTTTGCCCATTTCCAGTGAAATGAATGGATGCTTTTAAACTCCAGCCATTGAGATAAGCCCATCATGGGTTCTGGGAGCAAAATATGTCTATAGTGAAACAGTTGGTGGATATCACATTAAAAAAAGCGATTTTTGTTTCTCTGTGAAAGAATATGGTCATTTGCTGTTTGTAAAACAGCCTTATGAAATACCCATTGCTACACAGGTGTATGCTCCACTGAAATTCCTGAGTGTTCACAGGAAAGTAGACTCTGACACAATTTAAAGTGAAAGAGATTGTTTCTAGATATAGTGCCCAATTCCATTAGTAAATCAATTAGCCACCTATAAAAGCCCAACCTTATCCTTCTCTAAAAAGCAGAAAAAGGGTCAGAAAAGACCTTTCTTGGAGGAGTAACAGAAGACACAGCAGTGAACACAGGAGAATAAGAACTTGAAAAGCCACTAGCTCTTTGCAAAGCTAAGAATTTTATCTGGTCTTTCAAAGCAGCAGCTGTGAGAAACTAAATCTAAAAACTAATATCACAGGATCCAGGACCTTATCGAGTTGAACATAAGAGTAATGGACCAAGTAACAAGTCACAAAGTATGGGGGCATGAAATTATAACACTTCTATACACAGAAAAAAAACATTCCAAAGGGTTTTTTAATATATATATAATCTCTTTGTAAGGGTATTCAGCTCTTTCTGTGTTACAGAAAAATAAAAAACTGACTTCTCTCTCCTAAAATTAATACATTAAAGCTCTGTTGAACAAAATCGTCAATTTCTAAGGTGAATTTCTCAGACTTTCTTCAGTTGCTGAGAGCCAGGGACTCTCAAATTCAGGAGGTATTCTACAAAGTTATTTGTTGCGATATCCTGTGGCTGGCTACCTAATTACCCCTATCATCACAGTTGTCAAATTTAGTTTAAAGCTTTCTCACAATGAAAATGGCTCAGATTTCCTTTTAGTGCCTGCTGCCACTTTAGTGGGACAGCATGAGAGAACTGAAAGTTCACGAACATGTGCTAATACTCTTGCTCCTCTGCGGCGTAGGTCAAACTCCAAGGCCATCAGAGAGCCAAGGTTGAAGGCAAGGCATTGGTTTCTATTTTAATGGGGCCTGTTCTTCCAATACACATAACATACGCTTCAAAATCATTATTTTGAGGCATTTTCATTGAGAAGACCTTGTTTCAACCAAGCTTTCTTACTGAGACTGATCTCTTTTTACATACTCCATGGAAGTAACAGACGCTCATTTAGCCCTCTGCATATTGATGATCACCAAGTCATTCATTCCTGGACAATATAATGCAATGTCTTTTGGCTTTGCCTGTAGGTTTAATTGTCTAGCTGTCCCTTAGATCATATTAAACTTTCCCTGGGTTTTTGGAGTTTTCCGTATCTGTGTTAAAATAGGAACATAATGTATCCAATGACCATAAGGGTTCAATTCAATAATTTGAACCTCAGTATTGCGTAAATTTAATGAAATAGAGTAGAAATTATCTGACATGGTCCGGTCTTACAATAGACAAAAAAATCATGTAAATCTCTGACACATGAGACTGTACTTTAAAACAATCAACAGTTGAAGTTAACAATTTAGTATTGGTGCGTAAGTTCTGGAATCAAACCCAAGTCGCTCCCTGCACTAGCAGAGTAATCTTGGTATAGACCAAGCTAACTTTGCCAACATGGTTTTCCATCTGTAATGTGCAGATAATAATAGTTCTCAATTCATAGGCATTTTGAGGGGATTGAAAAAGCTAATGCATGTCATATGTTTATTTAGCATAACACCTGTCACAAAATAAGTATTCAAAAATAACTTACTTTTAGAATATTTCCCATACGGCAGTTTGTCCATTGTTGGATAGTTTTGTTATTAAAGTGATTTTTAAGAGCAAACTTGAGTGCTACCTAGTTTTTATTTTTCTTTTTATATAATGAAAGAGCTTTATTGACCCTTATTTAATTTATTCTCCAGTCTAATCATCAACAACTCCATTTTTCATGTGATATTTTCATGCCTTTTATCTGCTTACCTGCCTTGGGAGTCTTCTAATTCATTACTGGACTTCTAATACTCTGATCATTCTCAGTTCATACTGAACTTTTATTGCATACCCATGTACATTCGTGCTATCTATGCATTCACATGATTTACTGGTACGCTATCACACTGAGGATGTGTCTTACTTTAGAATGAAAACACAAACCTAAGAGGTCAAACAAGAAGCACTGCAATCACTGATTCTTCAGAATCCATCCCTCGATATCCTAGAGATGACACTCACACAGGACAACCTCCGGCTCTGGCCGAACCTCAGCCAGGATATTTTTTGAATTAACAGGATCAGTTTCTTTTTAGGCCTCCTTCATCTTACTCCAAAGGGTGGGAAAGGAACAACCTTGTCTTCATTAAAACGGGCAATTAACAATTTCCCTCCAAAGCCCCTCAACACATCACTCAGAGAAACACCATCTGCTGGAACTTTCTTAGGCATCATTGGACTTGAGAAGCACTTCACTCTAAAGCAACTTAAGCCAACTTTGGTATGGAGCAGGTTTAGCTAAGAAAGAAGGCTGTTGAACACTAGCACTCTGAAGGGCATCTACCTCAGTCAGTAGGACACACCCCTGTTCCCTAACGTTTTCTCTGTACCAGATTGGCAGGAGTAATAACGTTTGTGATAGTATTTTAACTCATCATGCATTTATTCAAGGCTGAGTTTTCTTGAGCTCTTAAGACATTGCATATGCCAATATTTTACTTTCCTACAAAGTTTATGTATGTAGAAAATACTTCTTGCTTCTTCTCCCTGTTGATCTTCTGTGTCTTTTTGATGAAATTCTACTCTAAATGCTTTCTGAATTTCATTTCTGTCTTCAAAGCAATAGCAAGACTGTCCAACATTGCACAGCACCATGATTTGATTACCATTGTCCAGCTCATGAATAAAAATATTAGGTAAAATTCTTTAAACTCATTTGGACTCACAGGTGGCATTTATATACATACACATATTAAAACCTTAGAAGCTGGACCTCCAAAAAAGATAGCATAACAACTACACATTTACATTTGAAACTATGACCCTTGAAAGAAGTTCATGTCCAAATTATTTAAGAAAATTCTGTGTAACATGCTGATCTCAGTTATCCATAACATGTTTTAAAACATTTGTGAGGTCCTACTCTCAAATAATCTATTTTTTCCAGTGTTTCCAAAACTTACTTGCTTCATGGAACACTTAAGAACTTTCTATGAGGGCCCGGAGGCAGTGTGGCCTAGCAGCTAAAGTCCTCGCCTTGAACGCACCGGGATCCCATATAGGCGCCGGTTCTAATCCTGGCAGCTCCACTTGCCATCCAGCTCCCTGCTTGTGGCCTGGGAAAGCAGTCACAGACAGCCCAAAGCCTTGGGACTCTGCACCCACATGGGAGACCCAGAAGAAGTTTCTGGATCCTGGCTTCGGATCAGCATAGCATCGGCCATTGCTCTCACTTGGGGAGTGAATCATCGGATGGAAGATCTTCCTCTCTGTCTCTCCTCCTCTCTGTATATCTGACTTTCCAATAAATAAATAAATCTTTTTTTTAAAAAAAGAACTTTCTATGAAACAATCTTCTGGGGACAAGCTAGACTAAATATTTTTTGCAGGCTTTTTATAGAAATGTCACGGAGATAGAAGCTCAATTAGTGTGTCTGTGTTCAATCTCTTACTTTTCTCATACCTACTTAGATTAATATTCTTCAAAGAAAGGAAATTAAATTGGTCTGACATTGATGTTATTATTTGTTCAGAAATCCAACTTGAACTGTTGCACAATATCTGGAGTTCCTTTGAGTGTTGGAAAGTAATTTGATGTTTCTTCTATTATTTTTCACTGGTATTAAATCTGCATTGACAAATTTATGTTTTTCCAGGTGTATATATGTGTATGCCATTATCCAGACAATTTCCTAAGTGCTTTATATCCATTAGTCCATTCTAAACTCACAACAATCTTAATAAGGTGAATGCTCTGATTTTTATTTTACGTACATAGAATTATGATTATCAAACTACAGAATCCTATTAAGATTTACACAGATAGCAAGGGTGAGAGGAAGTACTGCACATTGCTCTAATTTGTTCCTCAAGATAAATCTTGCTTTCTTTATCCTCCATTTTGACATCTGTTTGAAAATGTTCATCTTCTGTACATCAGCTTTCCTCCTAGAACTTGTTTCTCTGACTTCCACAACTCCTCTTTTTCCTTTAATCTGCCAATTCTGTGGGTGTTTTTCCTCAGCACTCCTGTTTATCCCCGTGGCTTTAGCTCTTGGTAGTAATCAACCAATTCTAGCTTTAATCTTTCTAATGAATTGAGGCCATATTTTCTATAAAGATTTAGAGTCATTTTGCTGGATACTAAATTCATCCCTTCCTCCCAAAGCACCTTTCTATTAACTCTTCATTGAAAATCTGCTCATTCTTCATGACTGCTCCTCAGATCGAGTTCCTCAAAAAATATTTACCTGGACTCTCCCA